GCATGTTCCATTCTGTATTTGGTAAATAACAACAACAACAAAAAAAAAACTATTGTTTTCATTTTGTAATACCAAGTTCAGAGAATTCAGTTCTTTCAGCCATGAAAAAAAATCTCGGTTCTAGTATCAAACTCAGATGGTGCTATCTGAAAACGCTAAAATACTCTCCTTACATTCCTGAGTTTAAAAATGAAGATGACTAATTTACCTATAACTATTACTCTCCTAATACTTTTAATCTAGTCTTAACTACCATCCAGCAACTAGTTACGAAATACTATGGTAAATCTCAAGGAGAAGTAAAAAGTCTTTAATGGCAGAAACTAGACAAACATGAGAGCAAATCACACATTCAGCTTGATATACAGTGGTACCTGTATGATGGAACTTATTAATACTCTAGCACAGCAACATTTCCGTCAAGACTATCTGATGACAAGAGTTCAGAACAACTTTTAAAAACTTTTTTCTTAAACTAAACAAAGGGCTTATTTCCCAAGGATTCATTCCTTCATAAAACAAGTATTACTGGGTGGGCATATACCATGTGCCAGGCATTCATCAACATACTCTGAATATATCTGTCAAAAAAAAAAAAGAAGAAGAAGAAGAAAAATTCCCTGACTTCATGGAGCTTATATTCTAGTGGGAATGGGAGATGATAAAAATGAACTTAAAATATATGGAAGTTATGTCATATAAAGGACTGCCTTTTCATTGTGAAATTAAGTTTAAATTTTGTAATACTGATGGCAAAATCCTTTATGGACATAATGCCTGTCACTCAACATTGGACCTCCACTGTGAGATTCAAAGGTGCATCTTTTACAACTAATATGAAATGAGTTTGGTAACATGAGCCATGCTTTTACAAATAACTACATTTCTTATTTGCTCTTTGAAACTGTGCCCCAGGAGACCCTGCCCTCTCCCTTAGAGACTTGTGAGCCCTGTTCTTCCATTTCTGATGTGTGTCCCTTCCTCTGAAAAACATGCACACACCAAGTGCTGAGGATACAAAGTTGAATAAGACCCTTTAATCCTAAAGAGTTAGCAGTCCAATAGGAGAAAAACAAAGAAAGGTTGGGGCTAATGAGTGCATGACTAAAGTATGCAAAACCTGGTAGGGTATGGGATAGAGTAGGGAATAATTCATTATCTCTGCTTACAGAAGGCTGCTCTGAGGAGGAGTCTAGGTTGAGTACGGGAGATTGGGAAGATGAGTGAAGGCAGAGAAAGTACAGCAGCTCATATGGGTCAGTAAGTACATGAGCTTGAAAGATGAGGCACAAGTGGGAGGAAATGATCCTAAGAAGCTAAATCCTTTAATAATAGAGGCTATATCTGCACAGAGTCATTACTGGGAGCTACATCTCTCATGAGAAGAAATGGAAAGCAATAGTAAGGGTATCTATGGTAGTGAAGGTTATGTGTCAACTTGGCAGAGCCTGCTGAGTGGCTGGGCAGCTGACTCTAGTTACTCCCCATGATGAGACTGGTAATCAACCCCACGGTGGAATCTACTGCAGCGGCTGAGTTGCTACCATAGGGATGTGGTCTGCTTCCAGCACATAAGGAAAAGCATTGAGAAAGGTCTCTGCAGCATTTTGGCACACTTGGACCCTGCATGTAGTCGAGTCTTCATTAAGCAGCCTGCCATGTTTCCTACTGATCTTGGTGCTGTCTCTGGACTTGAACTAGTGGCCTGCTGTGTTGTTTGGTAATATTGGGACTGTGCCATTTTATCTGTCGACCTTGGGCTTGTTAGCCTCAACAGCCAGCAGCTGCCTGAGAGAAGAGACACCTCTAGCTCCAGTGGGCCAGGAGCAAGAGGCAGAGTTCTGTTGTTTGTTTTTTTTTTTTTTAAATTGTGCTTTGGGTGCAAATTTACAAAGCAAATTTGATTTCCATTCAACAGTTCATGCATGTTTGATTTCACAGCCCAATTACCATCCCCAGCCATAAAAAACTCTCCTAGAGCTTGGCATTTTGAACTCAGATTTCTAGCCTCCAAAACAGTGAGAGAATAAACTCCTGTTTGTTAAAGCCATCCCATTTGTGGTATGTTTACTAACACGGCATAAGAGGTAACCAAAACAGCATCTTATAAACAGACTTCAGTTGTAGCACTGGGCACATGTGAAGGGTGACTGGATCTCAAGTACAGGCTAACCAAAGGGAAAGTATCTGAAGAAAGCAAGGTGACTGAGCAGCACAAGAGAAAGGGGACAATGTTAATAATCTTGCCTGGACCCAACCCTCATTCCTTTGGTAGACCTCACCACTCTCTGTTGGGTACATCACCAACCAGTCATTCAGGGTTAACAGTAAATCCTTCCATTAACATGCTATCCTCAAGTCAGCAATGTTCCCAAACCAAACACAGGAGAAGTGCCGTTATGTGTGCCCTTTATATAAATACAGCTGAATAAAATAGAGTTTTCTCCCCTCATGTTAAATACCCATATAATATATGTTCTTGAATTGACACGGGACTCTATTTTTAACCTCAGTCACTATCCTCTGGCTCTAGAAAATCAATAGTAAGAAGACACTCTGCCATGAGATTACTCTATTATATTACAAATAGCATCCTGTAGTGTGATCATCATCTCCCCAGCATGTCTTGGAAACTCCTCAAGGGTAGGAACTAGCTAATAGTAGGCATTTAGTTAAGGACCGACGAATGAATGAACCCATCAAATTTTCTCAAGTTCAAGCTAGCATAAAACACACCAATTGCTGCTATTTTTCATTCTAAATGATGACAACTGTTCAAGTAGCTTCTTACAAACATGAAATCCGTGACCCTACTACCTATTATGGGAGCTCTGGTAGCATAGTGGCTAAGACACTTGCCTGCTAACCAGATGGCTGGCGGTTCTAACCCACCAGCCACTCCTCGGAAGGAAGATTGGGCAATCCTACTTCCGTAGTGATACTGCCTCAGAAACCCAAGGAGGGGTCGCTATGAGTCGGGTTTGACTCCACGGCACATAACAACAACAACAACAACACTACCAATTAAATATACAAAGTCAAACACCATAATCGGAGAAAAGCTTTACATTTTAATTTTAAAATAAGCTTCTCCAATCCAGTTCAGAGTTTCCCATAAACTACACACATTTATAATCCAGCACGAAAAGGAAGAAAGCAGCATTGTAACTCAAAATATTATGGGGAAAAACCTTTTGGCAAAGTTTAAAGAACTCAATTTGAGCCTTCACCACCTCCAAATGAATACAGGCAGTCCCCAGATTATGAACAAATTCTGTTCCTAACTTTGTGTTTAAGTCGAATTTGTACCTAAGACAGAACAGTTAGACATGGTTTGTATCTAGTCAGTCAGCCAAATGTTTGTCTTAGTATTCAATATATCTCTATGTATAAAAAACTTTAAAGAAACACTTCCAGATACACTAAAACCTTTTAAACACAATAATACAGTAATAATAGTAATAATGTTTTGACGTGCATTGCCAAATAGCACCTGCTTGTTATCATAAACCACTGTACGTACCTTGAGTTTTTAACATAATAGGCTTTAGGGGGAAGAAAGGGGAAGTTTGGTTCATAACTATGGGTTGTACATAACTCAGATATTCGTAACCAGGGAACTGCCTGTATATAAATATGTAGTGTCTTGACCAAACCTAAATGTAACATTAAACAAAAATGGGGGGGATTTCTTTAAACTTTGTTAAATCAAAAGATAATTGTTTACAAACTTGGACCTGGGCTACTGGGATATGCTTGGGAACAGCTGTATACACTTTAATCTCACAAAGTAGCCAGGTTGTACTTCCTTCCTAAGGTCCATCCCACAGTTGTCATCTACTACCCAAATTACAAATGCTATACTTGGTATGGAAAAGAGTTGATGTCAATGATTAAAAACAATAATAATAAGATTTGTGTAGAGAAGTTCAAAAGTGTAGCATCCAGGCTGACAGTTATTGAATAAAACAATTTTAAATAGTCAGCTACTCTTCCTCCTACAGTGTGAGGGTGTGAGGGTATGTGCACTTGGGGAATAAGAAGGAGGAGGGGGGTGGGTCTTTTCTTGGTGAGAAAAAGAAGAAAGTGCAAAGACTAGTACGCCAGAGAACTATCCTTTTCTGGAATTCATAGAGGGTCTGGCCTTTTTTCCCCAGGCCCAAGCCCAAGACTGGGGACCAGGGTTTTGTCAGGGGCACCTCCCTGCTGTCCTGCCCTGGGCTGCTCCACATGAGCAGAGAGAGACAGCAGGCAGGCCCCTCTGACACCTACTTAACTGAGGCAGATGGAGAGGAGAGCGTGTGGGGTGCCTTTACTTCCCCCTCAGGAGGCTCCCAGCAGGAGCCCGCAGAGCCAGCAATTCCAAAATCAGATTTACACACAACCTTCCCCCTAGAACACGCCTTACCCCTCTGGCAAGAGGAAACAGAGCATTAAGCAAGTGTGGCTCTGGTATATGAAGGGGATTTTAGAAGACCTCAAGAAGTCTTCTTACAGGATTCTGCACTTTTTTCAAACCTCTTCAGAGGTACCCAAGTTGAGAAACAGTTACTCACTCATTGACCCAAAGAGGGCAAGGGTGTTATTTTGAGGACGACACAATCAGTGTCTGCAAGATGTCCTTAGCTAGAGACACATACTTTATTAATAATCTTACATACACAAAATGTCCAAGGGAAAGCCTAACAGGCTAATTTCTGACAGCTCCAGATAACAGCAGGAGGAACTGAAGCCATGCTGACTCTCCAGCCTCCTACTACACAGAAGCAATGATCCCTTTCCCACCCAAGGGAAGTGATACAAATAAATAAATACAATTATCTGCAGAACCTAAAGTGCAAGAACAACATTTTGAAGTCCTTCTCCTCAAGTGCAGTGACTTGTGGGAAACAGATAGGAAAATAAAAAGAACAGCTGGAAATTTTAATTATGAAAGGACCACGCAAAAGCTGACACTGTCTCACAGAACTAGCCAATTGTCAAAAGCCATTCTCCCTTACCTTAAGATACAGAAGCAGCTCTTCGCTCCTGAAGATAAGCGGCAGAACCCGAATCTCTGTTTGCTGTCAATGTCAGTGAGCACAAATGTGAAGTTCTGGCCAACTTGGCTAACTGTGAGACTGCAGCAGAGACAGAACAAAGGGAAAAGGAATGTGCAGTAAGTTTCTTGATAGAGTAGCTAATCACGACAAGTCATTGAACCTGTAACATTTCCTTTCTCGGTAGAACTCTTTACAAACTTAAAATTTATACGCTTCAGGGAAATAGACAATGAACATGTAAAAAAAAAAAAAAAAAAGAGAGAGAGAGAGAGAGAGAGAGAGTGAGCAGCCCATTTTAGTGATCAGCTCAGAACGCAAAATTGTCGAAGCTATTCTGTCTTCTTCCACTTACTGAGTTCAGGCACTGGGGTAACTCTGTTAATCATCCCATGAATCTTGAAAGGTGCATTCTATTAACCTCATTTTTATAGAGGAGGAAATAGTCCCAGAGAGGTATTGCCTAAGGTCCCAGCTGGAAAGTGGCAAAAAGCTAGATTTTAAGCCTAGGCTCATCTGACTCCAAAGCCCATTCTATCAGTTTGCTATTAACAATACTCACCTAATTAATGCTCTATTCAGAAAGTAATGGTGACTGCAAAGCAAAATTTCAGTGTCTACACTGTCCCAGTCACAAAGCTAGACACTTGTATGTACCATCTCATTTAACGCCCACAACCACCCTGGAATTTAGATGATGTTCCCATTTTACAGAAGAGGAAACTAAGGGACAGAATAATTAGATAACTTAATCAAGGTCACAGAGCTAAGTGGAAAGAAAAGAGGGCAAGGTTAACAATTATTTGCCTAAATTTTTTCATCTTTCATAATTTCATATTTTAGAGATCAGAAATAAAAAGTAGACCAGTAATCCAAAGTGCTGTCTAAGAAACAGAAGCAATATTTTTAAAGAAAGCCATTAAAGAGAAAAAAAGCTAAAAATTATTGTATAAATGCAAAAATAAGGCCACACACGAAAAAGCCTTAATGTAAAACTGAAAACATGTTTTTTTAAATAATATAAAGCATATTACCAGATTGATACAAATGCTATCTTTTTAAAAATTTACGAAATTTTTAAAAATCCACTTTTCAAAAATCTGTTTACCCATTAGCTTGGATTTCTTTTTAAGAACATAAACATTTCAAAGTCTAGTACGTAAACTTATACTAACATACTATTTTAGAATTTGAAATTGAATTTGCTCAAAGAATCTCATCAACTCTAAGGCAAATTTCTACTTTATAAAAAATACTCAAATTTATAAACTATCCAAATCAATGTTCTCACATAGAAATAATTCACTTTATAAATTATCATTGAAAATGAAAATCATGATTCACCAGGCCTTTTGCAAAGGCAGAATTCTTGTTGAGTCTTTGAACATGATATGAAATAAATTTCAAAATATACAGTAGCCTTCCTCTCCAAAACTCCCCTATATAAACCACATATGAAAATTAAAATTAAAGAGGCTTTCAAGGTATCCTTGTACAAAGGTCAATGGACCCTTCCTGGTCATATTTAAGGAAACAATTCCTTCCCCTGCAGAGTGGTTAGAGAGTACAAGAAAGTAATTCAGAAAGAACAGTAAGTGCTCCACTTTCCCTATTTAACTAGGAAGGTGAACAAAACAAGGTGGCAATTGTAAAGCAACGTGGTAATAAAACAGGTGTAAGTAATGCTATCCCTCCACCTTACATAAGCCAGAGAAAGAACACATTTCTATAAAAGTTACAGAGTCGTCAAGGGGACACCAAACCTACCTTCTATGGCTGTTATGTTTTATCTGTAAAGCTTGGATACTGTGTTACTATGGTGATTTAATACTATGTTTTAAAGGGGGATTATATGATTAATTTTAACAAGGTTGAGAACTGAAGATGTGTGAGAAACAGGATTCTAGCTCACATAATTAAAGTGATTGGAAAGAAAAGTGGGCCTCACTGGGGAAGGAACCTGTGTTATTAAAATATTTAAAGCAACAGGTCAGGATGATTCTAAGTTACAAATAAAGTCATGTTTTTGTGAAATACTATTATGTGATCATACGAAATTTTACTGTTAATTATTTTATCTCAGGGTTTGATTTCACTTATGGGTTATTGAAAATGAATACTCTCTAAGAAGCACCCTAGAAGGGAAGGGTATTGATAGAACTGGATGAAAAGAAAATACACAGGATCTCTAGGAAAAGGACAGAGATTGAACACAATTTGGTTTGTGAACTAGCTATCATTAATTTCCTATTATCTTTCCACTACTATTAAAAATACTGAAAATGCTTTTAGTTACATTATAGACTCAAAGAAAGATTCATTACTCATTTACTTTGTTCAAATTGCACCTCAGTCACTTCCAAGCTGGGCCTTAATTTAGTAATAACTTCTAAGCACTTCAGTTTCTTCATCTGGAATAACAATGGGAATACTACCACACAACCCAAAGGATGTTTTGCAAGTAAGTGAGATAAGCATTTCGCATAAAGGCCAGCCTATATTAGGAACAAATAAAAGGGATGTGAAAACTAAATTTCAAACTAAAATCATGCATTTGCTTAGTCTTCCTGACTGACTCAGCTTTCTAGGAAGTTAGGGTGCCTTTTCTCCCTGGTCTGTCGCCTCTTTTCAGTTAAGGGGTAGTTTTTCGGCTAAGGAAGCAAAAGCCACTTAAACTTGCAATAATGTGAAAAAGACTTTTTGGGATGTCACAGTTTAGAAGGGAACACTTATTAATCTCAATAGATTTACCTTTTCATTTCTGGTAGGGTGAAGTACAAATCATCAAAAGCCTTTTAAAACCATTGAATTCTAAAGTATTAAATTCCTTGGATAATTTCCAATAAACTGGAAAAAAAAAAAAAAAAGTCCAGAAAAGGGCAGTCAAAGTGAGGTTAGCTTGAATGGTTCTGAGTCTCCAAGGAATTTTATCATTCCCTCTCTGCTTGCTGAGGTGGTCTATAGGAATGTTCACTATTTCTCCACAAAAGTAACTCTGGGGAGAGGGTCTGCTTCCTTCACAGCTGCAGTTGTGTTTACCTCCAGGATCAGCAACTATGACTTCTTTACAGAAGCCAATAATTAAAGCTGGGAAGAACCTTAGAAATCATCTCATCCAATTCTCTTCATTTACAGCTAGGGAAACTGAGGCTCAGTGTTTGTTTTTATTTTTTTCCCCCCCAGTAATCAGGGGTAGGACAAAAATCTAGAACCAATTTCTGGTTCAGAGTTGTCTGCATTCTGCCACACTGCACTAAACACAATGAAAATCCTCCCAAGGAAGCGTTCAACTCACTATAAGGAACTCTGGTATGTGAGGAATTCAGATAGCTTCTTATCAAACACGACTATACATGGCATTAAGCAAGAGAAACCAAACCCGAGTATCTCCAGAAATAAACTCAGGAGACCAGAGCCAAAACCACCATTAATTAGATGGGCTTCCCATGCCTACATGAATACAGAATACAAAGGAAAAAAGCAATGACTTTTCAAACCACAGACATCAACCTTCATGCCACCTTTTAAATGCCTGTCAGATACTCAAGTCTCCTCCAGCAGCATTTTGCTTAATCTTGAAGTTGTTTACAGGTCCAGTGTATAAATGGACTTTAGAGTCATGAATCATGTGGATGAGCAGTTTGATTACAGCCTTCCAGTGAGAAATGGGTTTTACATGTCAGCCTCAGTTTTAGTTATTCATTTTACAAAATGAGCAACTACACTGAGCACTGTAACAAGTGCTGCATAAACAACAGGGGCCATGTGGTCACTGCCCTCCTGGGGCTTACTGTCTAGTTAGGGAGGAATAATAAACAAATACACTGCAAAACATACAGCTTATCATAGTGTTATTATGAAAATAAAGAAGGAATAAAGGAGAAGGTGGAAGAGAAGGAAAGGATCTATTGAGACAATGGTCAAAGACAGCTTCTCTGAGATGATGCAAGAAAGCAGCCATTCAAGGAGGAGGGGACTGAATTTTTCAGGAAGACAGAAAAAAAGAGCTGTGCAAGGATGCTGGAGCTAGAAAGAGCTAGGCATGTTCTAGAAACTAAAAGAAACCAGTACAGGTAGTCCCCGACTTATGATGTATTTGATGACTGACCATCTGGTTTACTTTGTTTGGGTGTTTTTTTTTTTAATACATCATATTGTTAGTAATATGCACACCACATACAATGTCACAGCACATAATTTGCTGTGTAATTATTCTGAGATGTTTGTATGTAATGTTTATAACCCCAAAAACAAATAAAGATCAGATTTATGAAGATACTGATTATAAAAGGCAGTAATAATGAAAACTACAAGCAGAGGTATTTAACTTACATCAGAACCAACTTACAACAATCCTGAGACTCCTAAGTCATGCTACCTGTATGGCTGAAGCACAGGAGAGATGGGAGAAAATGACATAAGAAGTCGCTGGATAAAGCAAGCATCCAATCATGCAAATAATCTCATAGGTCATGGTAGAGTCAGAATTGTTTTTAAGCAATGGAAAACCACTAAATAGTTTTAATCAAGAGAATGATATTACCTGGCTTATAGTTTTAAGTTTTTTATCTGTTATGTGGCAAACAGTTTGGGAAAAGCCAAGAGTAGAAAGAGGGACCATAATCAGGAGGGTTTCAGTCATCTTTGGGCAATCTATTTCCATCGTGATACCACCTTAGAAACCCAAGGAGGTGTGCTATGAGTCGGATCCAACTTGATGGCAGTTAGTTTGTTTTTTTTCTGGCAGGTAAGATTGGTCGGTGAATAGAGATGGAAAGGGGTGGACAGTGGCAAGTTACAATTAGCAGGTACAAATGACAGGGTTGCAAATGGATTTCATGGATAAAATTGAGGGAGTTGGATTAGATCTCCACTGTTCCTTCTGGATTTCATACTTTTGATTCTCCACTTATGATTCATATTTACTTCATTGGAGTCATGTAGACAAAGTGAGTGCAGAGATCTCTGCTGTTTTCAGAATCATCCATTGAGTTTCTCAAGCAGATGAGTGTTGCTCTGTATCGGGCAACATGTGACCCAGGGTTGGTCCCCAGACATTTCAGATCAATGTCTTTCTCACA